GCCCATGAGCTCAGGCAGTCCAACCACCTTGTCCTCCCAGAGTGCTAGGATTATAGGTGTGAGCCACTGCGCCAGCCTATTTTTAATGTCAGAATAGTTGAGTTTTCTTTTTTTTTTGAGACAGAGTCTCAAGCTGTTGCCATGGGTAGAGGGCAAGTGCTTGCCACAGTGCCTGGCTGTTTTTTAGAGACAGGGTCATGGCATCACTCTTGGGCTTCAGTGAGTCTCTTGCCTCAGCCTCCCAAGTAGCTGGGACTACAGGCGCAACACCTGGCTATTTTTTGGTTGTAGTTGTCATTGTTGTTTGGCAGGCCCAGGCTGGATTCGAACATGCCAGCTCCCGTGTATATGGCTGGTGCTCCAGCTGTTGAACTACTGGTGCCGAACCAGTTGAGATTATTTTTAATGGCCCCAGCTGCTAAACAGATTTTTATTAAATCACCTTATCAGAAAAAAAACCGGAACCAATATTAGTAAAATGCATTTTATTTTTTGATCGCTATATGGTGAAATTTTTAACTCTGGTTTATGTTGACTTATGTTCAGATGAATTTTTAAGGGCTTAAGGGGATTAATATTTTTTGAGTACCTGCCATATGTTAGTGTTTTATTTCTTATGTTATTTCCTACCCTCAGTTATAGAGACCTTTTGGTTAATCACTTGCAAATCTACATATTATTTTTAGTGGTTAAAAAGATAATTTCTTTTTTTTTTTTTTTGAGACAGAGTCTCACTTTGTCACCCTACAGAGTGCTGTGGCATCATAGCTCACAGGAACCTCAAATTCTTGAGCTCAAGTGACACTTTTTTTGTCTCAGTTTTTATTTTTAGTAGAGATGGAGGCTCTCACTCTTACTCAGGCTGGTCTCTAACTCAGGAGCTCAACCTGCCTCGACCTCTCAAGAGTGTCAGGATTATAGGCATGAGCCACTGCGCCTGGCCAAAAAAAGGATAATTTCTATTGTTCTCACATATTAACTATTCCCTTTCACTTTTACAATAGTAAAATTAATTTAAAAAATTATTTTGGAAGAATTTAAATCAGTTGAACATCTTATTCTTAAATCTGTAATGAAGTCATGTATTTGTTAAGAAATCATTTTGAATATATTACGATTTTCATATAGGAAGGAACTTCAGCAGTAGAGAATTTGAATGAAATGCAGTGCATGTGGTTCCAGACAGAATGTGCCCAGGCTTATAGAGCAATGAATAAATTTGGTGAAGCACTGAAAAAATGTCATGAGATTGAGAGAGTAAGTACCTCACACATAAGAGTTTCTCATTCTGTTATACATTGAAGATCTGGGCAAATTGTATAGGTTTTTCTCTTCTCCCTCTTTAGGATTCACAGTAGGTGATTTTTAAAATCAGTATTCACTTTTTTCAGTTTTTATAATGGAAATATTATAAACTGTATTTTCAGCCAACTGCTCTGTTATTTATTCTACCTGTAAATTCTTTTTAAAGATTTTGGAATTTTGTATCTTGATTGTGTTTTTGTTGATTTTTTTATTTTTTTACCTTTTTTTTCAAATTGTGGCTGCTGCTGCTTTATTAGTACATACAAAGCTTCTTTAATAATCCTAGAAGCCTGTTTATTGTGGGGTTGATTGGTGATGCTGTATACTCTTGATAAGATACAAGTTTTGACACCTTTTCACAGTATGTAAGTCCTCATTTAAAGTCACTGTGTTTTAGTCCTTTTCACTTAACAGTTCATTTCTATGAGCAATAGTTGGCTTCCTTTTTGTGTGGTTTTCATAGGTGTACATAGTTTATGTAATTTCACATTTGTAATATGGTCAAGTGTAAAATAGCAGAGCTTAGTTGAAATTTCTAAGTTCCTGGTTGCTTGACTTACTTGCTTATTAATTTCTTTCCCTCATATCTTAGCATCACATTGTACAAAATTCAGATTTGTATCCTCAAAAAGTTACCAAATACTGTTATAGATATTATAATCCTTTGTAAATTATTCTAAATATAAAAACTGAATGTTCAACATGTGACTCTACTGTAACTTAGTGCCTCTTGTATGCCATATCCTGTGCTAGGTGATGGCCAACTGTATTTGCTTATTTGAAATCTAAAATATTCATAGATGTTGCTATACTTCAGTAAAAATAATAAAAAGATAATTTTGTTAGCATTTTATAGAAATCACTGACGACCAGTTTGACTTTCATACATACTGTATGAGGAAGATTACTCTTAGATCATATGTGGACTTATTAAAACTAGAAGATGTACTTCGACAACATCCATTTTACTTCAAGGCAGCAAGAATTGCTATAGAGATCTATTTGAAACTTCATGATAACCCCCTTACAGATGAGAATAAAGAACATGAAGCTGATACAGGTATAATATTCAAGGATTTCTCAGTATTTGCTCTGGTGTGTGTACCTGTATGTATGTGTTTCTCTTGAGCTTTTTATTAAGCACCTTGTGGGAGAATACTATACATGGCGAGAAAATGATGGTTATTTTGTGAATTTCTCTAAACAACAAAAGAAAAATATTGTCTACTTTTATATGTTCAAAATAAGTTAAGCATTTGATTAATGTAATTGCTCATTAGCATTTAAGAAGTTTACATTTTGTGAATTTTACACTCAGTGTCTGGTTTACCCAATATTATAAATTGTTAACTATAATACTATATATTGCTAACTGCATAATTAGTAACTGCATATTAATATTGGTCATTATATAACTAATCATTCTATTTTTTAAAGTAGAAGTTGATAAGCTACTAAAAGGTGAATATTGCTTAGATATTAAAAATCAGTTTGAAATTAAGCTAAGAAAATAGCCTACTGATTTATCATTTGACTAATTTTTTTTTTTTTTTGAGACAGAGTCTCAACTATGTGGCCCTCAGTAGAGTGCTGTGATGTCATAGTTCACAGCAACCTCAAGCTCTTAGGCTTAAGCAGTTCTCTTGCGTCAGCCTCCCAAGTAGCTGGGACTACAGGCACCCACACAACGCCCGGCTTTTTTTTGGTTGGAGTTGTCATTGTTTTTTTCTTGTCTTTTTTTTTTTTTTTTTTTTGAGACAGAGTCTTACTTTGTCGCCCTCAGTAGAGTGCTGTGGCGTGACAGGTCACAGCAACCTCAAACTCTCGGGCTTAAGCGATTCTCTTGCCTCAGCCTCTCAAGTAGCTAGAACTACAGGTGCCCACCACAACACCTGGTTTTTTTTTGTTGTTAACAGTTGTCATTGCTATTTTAGCTGGCTGGGGCCGGGTTCGAACCTGCCACCCTGGGTATATGGGGCTGCTGCCCTACCCACTGAGCCACAGGTGCTGCCCTGGAGTTGTCACTGTTGCTTGGCAGGTCTGGGCTAGATTCGAACCTGCCAGCTCTGGTGTATGTGGCTGGTGCCCTAGCTGCTGAGCTATAGGCGTCAAGCCATTTGACTGATTTTTAATGTATCATTTTTCATGCAGAGTGTCAGGATGATTAGGGAGACAGTTATTTGGGAAAGAATTTCAGAATAAAACTGATTTTTGCATGTAGAAAGATGTAAGTTAATTTTATATCCAAATATTTTATGACTTACTCATGGTAAAAATGTTCTAAGAGTTGGGGCATAAAAAGTCAGAATTTTTTCTTTGGCCCTTAGTTGATTCCTCTTTTGAGGATATTACTAGGATATTACTGGTTGCTTTCTATATTCTTCCTCCTGCTGAAGAGCTTTTGAATTATTTTGTTAATTCGTTTTAAATTTTTATTTCCTGTGTAAGGACAGTTCAGAACTTCCTAAGGTCAAACAGCCCTTGTATAGATTGCTGCTCCAATGTGGAAGAAAGCACCAAAAAGAAGAATTTACTGGAAAATTTATATTTAAAATTGAGAGCTAAGACCCTCTAGCTTCTTTTCTTTACCTTTGTTTTCACTCTTGCTTCCTTTAAATTATAAAAATGTTACACAATTAACTCTAATTACACAAAGCTGCGATAGCATAGAAATATGCGTAGCAAATATGAAAATCTTTCACTTTTCTCCCACCTATTCTCCTTTCCAGACGTTTTTCCGGTAAAAGAGTCAATTCCTTTTATACACAAATGGAGTTTTCAGAGCTTTGTGTATGTACAATGTCCACATTTCAAAGTGGTTCTTGGCAAATTTTTTGTTTTTGTTTGTTTTTTGTTCTTTTAGTCCATGAGTGGGATTATACACGTAACCTACTGAGTGTCCTGCAACTTACACTTTTTATCTCCTGCTTAATAGTACTGTTATTCTATGTTTGGATATTTATCCAAATGACATTTTAATAGCTATGTAAGAATCTACATGAATTCTTTTTCTCCATTACAGTAAATATCCTTGTCCATCATCATACATATATTTAGTTAGCATTGATTATTACAAGTGGAAATTTCTGGGGCATGGGATATGATTATTTGCAATAGTGTCAAGTTGCCCTCCATAAAGGTTTCACCAGTTTATTACTGCCAGCATTGTTTTGAGAATGTTCTTTGTTATTGCTAACTCTGAAAGTTTTTGGTCCTTAATGTTTTGCTGTATTTGGTAAAATATCTCATTTGTAATTTCTAGATTTTTAGTGGAATGGAATATCTGTTTATATTTTCATGTAACTTTTGCTTTTTTCTGTGAATTGCTTGTTCTGTTCCCTGCTTGCCCTTTTTTTTTTTTTTTTCTGAGATAGAGCCTTAAGCTATTGCCCTAGGTAGAGTGCTGTGGTGTTGCAGTTCACAGCAACCTCCAACTCCTGGGCTTAAGCGATTCTCTTGCCTCAGCCTTCTAAGTAGCTAGGACTACAGGTGCCTGCCACAATGCACAGCTACTTTTTTTTTTTTTTTTTCATAAGAGATAGTCTCACTTTGTCACCTGAGGTAGAGTGCTGTGTCATCACAGCTCACAGCAACCTCCAGCTCTTGCATTTAAGTGATTCTTTTGCCTTAGCCTCCTGAGTAGCTGGGACTACAGGCACCTGCCATAATGCCTGGCTGTATTTTTGTTGCAGTTTGGCCGGGGCCTGCTTTGAACCCACCACCCTTGGTATATGGGGCTGGTGCCCTACTAACTGAGCCCGCGGCGCCACTCCGGAGTTAATTTTTAAATGTGATGTAAGGTGGAGAATGTCTTCCCCACCCTTCCCCTACCAATAGACTACAAACTCTTCAGTATTTATTGAATAGGTTGGCATATTCTCCACTGGTTTAAAATGCTACCTTTATCATGAACTGAATTCTGAAAAAGTAATGTGGTGAATTGTGCACTTGATATCTTATTGCAACACATATTAAAACTTACTGTAGGGCGGTGCCTGTGGCTCAGAAGGGTAGGGCACCTACCTCATATGCCAGACGTCGCGGGGTCAAACCCAGCCCCAGCCGGAAAAACAAAAACAAAACTTACTGTGAAGGGCATAATTAAAACTACAAGGTATTGACATCAATACACAGATTTCTTTAAGAGATTTTATGGTTTTACATGCAGATTTTTGCTTATACATAAACTATAAAATTGACTTGTTTTCTAGATAGTTGCTCTGGACTTTTTTTGATTCAGAACAGATTACTGTTTGAGAAGGGCATAAGAAGTGGACCTTAAATAATACCAATTTTTTGTATACCAGAATGTGTATATATCCTACTTAATTTTTAGTGTAATTGTTATATAATTTCAGCAAATTTATTATTAACATCATTTCTGTGTGTTGTTACAATTATAATATTCTAATACAATGCATTATTTTATATGCCAAGTTGGCATTTTTATTGAACTCTAATATTAGGTTTGCCATTTTCAGTTGATTTAGTAGTTTTGTTTCTTTCAGTATTAACACCTCCCTTCCACCCTCAGGAAAACCCTAAACAGTTCCGTTTAGTAGGAACAGTACAGTAGTTTACTTGTTACTCATTTTTCTTTAGTGGCAGTACTTCTAATATTTCACTATAAAGTTTGCTGTATCTATAAGAAGTATTTGATAGTTACTCTTTATTTGACTGAGATGTTAAAAACACAAGAAACAGTGTTTTTATCTTTTTAGTAAGCTTTCTTTAAGCTTTATTTGGCCAGATTTGTTTTGCCCTCTTATGTGGATATTAATTAGTATGGCTAGGTATAGTAGTGTGGGTTCAAATGTTATTTTCTGTGTATACACACAGACATATTTTTTAAAAAGATAGTGGAATATTCTAGCTGTGTAGAATTTTCCTTTAGTTCATTTTAAACTAATATTCTGAGCCTTTTGTTATGCACATAGAAATAATAACTAATATTTGTAAACTTTAAAATTATAGTACTTCGGCTCAGCGCCTATAGCTCAACCGGCTAAGGCGCCAGCCACGTACACCTAAGGTGGAGGGTTCGAATCCCCAGCACGGACCCGCCAAACAACAATGACGGACCCCCGCCAAACAACAATGACGGCTGCAACCAAAAAATAGCCGGGCGTTGTGGCGGGCGCCTGTGGTCCCAGCTACTTGGGAGGCGGAGGCAAGAGACTTGCTTGAGCCCAGGAGTTGGAGGTTGCTGTGAGCTATAATGCCACGGCACTCTACCCAGGGGGACAGCTTGAGGCTCTGTCTCAAAAAGAAAAAAAAAAAAATTATAGTACTTCTTGATAATTGGTACTAAATTAAGTGAAATTGGATTTGAATTCTTAATTTCTTCATTAATTACTTATATGGTTGTTTCTGTTTTTATATGGTAATTCTATGGAGCACTGGCATGAGTCCTTTTAAAGCAGTGACAAGCTTAAATATAGAATAGGGCCTCTAGGTCACATTCATACTATAGTCTGTTCTGATAAATAAGATTTTATTGGAACATAATTTAAGGCAAGCCTATTTTTTGGGGGTAGGGGGACAGAGTCTTAAGCTGTTGTCTGGGGTAGAGTGCCGTGGTGTTACAGCTCATAGCAGCCTCAAACTCTTAGGGATCAGTGATTCTCTTGCCTCAGCCTTCCAAGCAGCTAGAACTATAGGTAACCATGTTGTCATTGTTGTTTGGCAGGCCCAGGCTGGATTTTAACCCACCCGTGCCGGTGTATGTGGCTGGCACCCTAGCTGCTGAGCTACAGGCGCTGAGCCAAGCCTATTGGTTTATATATTTATTAAATTATTTTTCTGCAACAGCTGAGGTTAGTAGCAACAGAGACTGATGGCATATAAAACTGAAATTAGTTAGCATCTGCCCCATCACAGAAAATGTTTGCTTTTGCTTGATATTTCATAGTGGAAAAATCCCCGACTTCGGAGTCTAGTTTTGTTATTTTTACATTTAACTCTTTCATCATCTCGAGTAAAGTTTGGTAAGACAGAGCATAGGAAGCCTAGATTTGGGTAGCAGAGTGAAGTAGATTTAAATCCTTGGTCTGCCTTTTACTTTCTCTGTGGGTTGTTATCTTCCTCTGAAACCTGGTTTTGTCATACTTAGTATTAAGCTCTTAATCCATGAAGTTATTGAGAATATTACATTTATTTATTTATTTATTTATTTTTTGGGCTGCGACTGGGTTTGAACCCGCCACCTCCAGCACGGGGGCCAGTGCCCTACTCCTTTGAGTCACAGGCGCTGCCCGAGAATATTACATTTAATAAGACTATGTACTGTATCTAGCATGCAGCCAGCATGCAAATGGTAGCAGTTATTTTAGCCGTCATTACCCGCATTTATATGGCCACCCAATTATAATCTTATGCTTTCAGAATGTAATGTTTGGTCTTTGTCTGAACTTTTCTTTATTTAGTATTAAGGGATTTTTACCAGGAAAAAGAGAAATAGGTATGTATTTGGTTTTAGTGGTTGTTGCATAATAGATTATCCCAAAATTTAGCAGTGGTCAGGAATTTAGAAGCATCTAGGTGAACTACAATCATGAAATTATAGTTCAGATTTTGGCTGAGGCTGCCATCATCTAAGGACTTGACTAGAATGGAAAGATCATTTCCTAGATGAGTCACTGAGAAAGCTATTGACAGGAGGCTTTAGTTCTTAGTCTCTCCGTAGGGTTTCTAGAGTTCTTCTAGACATGGTAGGTAGCTAGCCATCAGAACAAGGAGGAAGCCACAACACTTTCTAAAGTTTGGTTCTCTTATTTCTTCACATTCTCATTGGTC